AGAAATCAATATAGGTAAGCAATTGTAGGAAATCAATAAACCAGCTAACTATTTCAGCAATATTTGTATAAATACATTACAGAAAATCAATAAAAAAAGTTAAATATTTCAGCCCTTTAGATGTAATTACGTTATAGGAATTCCATAAAATAGTTAAATATTTCTGCAAAATGGTAATTGCAAATTACTAAATCTTAAAATGCTTATAACTTAATTTTTTCAGTCATTATATAATTTCCAAAAAAATAAAATAAAAAATAGATCCGAAAGTTTTTATTTAAAAATATTTTAATTATTTCATGATTATACAATTTTATTCGAAAGATTAATAAAAAAAAGTAATATCGCATTCTATAAAATCAAATGTGAAGACGTTATTATAGGAAATCAATAAAATATATTTCTGAAAAATGGCAATTTTGCATAAATGAATCTGTAAATGTTAACTATTTTATTCTTTTATTTATTATGTTGCAATAAATAGATCCTCAAATTTTTAAATAAGTTTTCAAGTATCCTAAATTTAAAAATAATTTAATTCTTTCACAATGATGCAATTTTGGATGGAAAATTTAATAAAAGCCAGATATCACATTCCATGAATTTAGAAGTGAATACTGTATTGTAGAAAATCATTAAAAAAGTTTTATTTCGGTGAAACGGCGTCTTTAAATTAATAAATCTTAAAATTGTTTTGCTCTATTCTTTTTTTTTACTTGGTATCTAATTGTTTTAAGGGAAAATATTTAATTTATTTAGAGGTCATAAGAACTGTTTAAAAATAATTATCATAAATTAACCTTTGCATTCGACGATTGATATACTCACTCAATAAAAGAAATATAAACTCCTGCAAAACTAGCGACTTCAAAAATAAAAAAAATTATAAATAATAAATAAAAATGAAATAATTTCCTCGAAATGCTTTAAGCCTAATGTTTGAAAAATTAAGTTTAAGGTTTCACAACATTAGGCAAAATATTTTACAGCGTTGGACAGTTCATTTTTGAGTTTAAGACAACAAATGTTCAAAATTTTGTAATTTTGAATCCAGCCCAGAAGATAATCGAATTTCTAGACCAGGCATAATGCGAACTAACCATTATGACCGGAGAAGAAATTCTGGTAAAATTACCGTATTGCTGGTAATGGTAATTCTGGTAAAAAAATAATAATAAATAAAAACTATAATTCTGATAATAAAAACTAAATAAACGGCTTACCGTTAACCGACTAAATAGCTTATATGCCATGCTTCAAGATATCATCATAAAATTACCAAATTTTACCACATATATCAAATTTCATCGCATATTACAAAACCATATTTTATTGTTCATTTTACCAAAATAATTACCAAAGCGGTTTGGTCAAAATCACCGAGCGGTTTGGTGCTACCCTACAGCCGGAAACACGATAAATGTTACCGTATTCTAATAGTTTCGGCCATATTTATTTTCTCAGTGTGGAGGATTTTTTGATGGAATTAGCTCACATTTGTGTTAAACGGAGCGGTAAACCACGAAAGATTATAACAAATGATCCGTTGATCAATGAGAATATTTTAAGTCAGCTCTGTGCGATAATAAGTCAAAACTTATTTTTGACTTATTAACGAAATAACTTTTGTACTAGAGTAAAAGTTGATCAAATGTCCCTACTCTGACATAACATTTACTTCGAATAGATATTTGAAACTTTTAATATTTTCTGAAGAGTTGATAACAATTCGTAATTTTAAACTAATGACTGGTCTTATACATAGAGGTATAAATATAATAGAACACACATATCACGATAATGTTTGTCCTCATAATGAAACCACTGTACTCGATAGAGAATTTCAACCTTCCGTTTTTCTTTGTTATTTCAAGGGAAGAAAATCGATCTGGCATTTTAAAGACAAAGATTTTAAAATATGGTGATTCATTGAGTCACATTGGCACCGAAATTTTTTTTTAAATGATTACCTTATTCTCAGGTAAATTAATTTATCACTTTTTGAAATTGCAATTGTTTTATTTACTATATAAGTAAACTTTTAGAATGTTCTTTTTTTCCCTTCAATTATTACATTTTATTCATTCTAAAATCCAAATTTATGTATACAGAAAATTATCTCGTTCAAAGAAAACCTGGTGCCCTCTTTCCAAAAAAAAAAAAAAAAAAAATTATTTCTTTCACGCTACGCCTATGCTAATAGGCATACATTAATGTCTAAGCAAAACGGCAATGTTGAATCAATAAATTTTGAAATGTTTACTATTTGGTTCTTTTCTTGAACATATAAGTTGCAAAAAGTGGATCATAATTTCTTGTTTAAAGTTAATTTATTATTATATAGCTTTATATACAAATTGTGATATAGTTTTATATACAAATAGGTGATATAGCTTTATATACAAATTTTTATCAAACTTAAAATTAGGAATGTGGCGAAATTATTACCAGTGTGCCGTTTCGTTAGACAGTTGAACACTGAATAAACCTTCCTTTGTTTTGGTGGAACTGGAATTAAGACTTTGGTGGAAATTCTTTATAACTAATGGGCTGCACCGCCTGCTCGCTAACGCGCGCCAACCCCCGAAAATTGCTACGCAATCATTCTAACTTTCCCCGTACTCCATTCTCTCCTCCCTAAGCCTAAAGCCAAAAGTCTGAGTCGCCCAAGGGCAAACATTATTCGATGAAGAAGTCAGATGCCCGCTTTGAGGGCAGGCACTTTGTACAACTTTATATCTAGTCTAGAGTGTCTCTCTTTTGATGTTGTCCTGTAGCTGAAATCACGGACGTTTCTCTTTGTGTTCTGTCGGGAGAAAGTTGATGGAACATCATGTCATGGGAGCACAGAAGAATATTTGCAGGAAGTGGAAAATATCAACGGAAGCATCCAGAGTGTCTCTTGGATGATGTGACCATCACAGGCTTTATAAGATCTTATGCAGCACCAACATCTATGTAAATTTAACATCTTGATTGTGCCATGGAGGCACGTGGTATGATTTCGTATTTTACTCCTTTGTGAGTTTTTTAAAGTTGTTATAGGACAATTTTTTTCGATCTGTATGCATCCACCACCTAACCTAATCACCGAACCTCAAATTTGTTAATTATCTAAAATTATCCTTTATTTTAACTAAATATGCTGAATTAAACTTCAATAAATTTATTTTCACCTTTAAATGTATGAGTCACTTTTTAATGGAATAGTATGTTTTTCTTTTTTATTTAATATGGTGTAGGTAAATTTAAAAAAAAAAGGGGGGGGAGTAAAATTTTCTTTTTTAACATGTGTGTACACTAAAAGCTGTAGGCAAGTAGTTTTTTTTTATAAATAAATTTGATTCTTTCGGCTTGAACCTAGTTGTACTTCAATGGCAAATTTAATCTTTTGCTCTAGTAATTTTACCTTTTTTTTCTCACTGTACGATCCATTAAATTTTCATATTCACTTTGTCGCCTGATCTTTAACTTTACAACTGTACGCACGGTACAAACGCAGTTAATTTTTCGCATTTGAAAAGTATAAATCTTCTTGGGTCCGTCAACGGACGACATGAAAACGCCTTTATGACTGTGACTTAACAAGAATAGCGTATTTAGAACAGGGGCGGATCCAGAAATTCTTCCTGGGGGGGGGGGGANTCTTCGGGGGGGGGGGGGAATTTTTATAAAAAAAAAATTTTTAAATATTTTTTTTTGAAAAAAAAATGAAAAAAAAACGCGGGTACTTAATGCTAGTCTTCTCATTTATTTTTTTCATAATGAACAATAGAACAATACATGAATAATTCAAGCATGGTGCGAGATTTTAGTTGCGAGTTTCGCAAGTTTCCTATTTTCACCTTTATACAATCTTTGGTTAAACCTGTTGAAGCGCGCTTCAACATTATTAATGTTTACAATGAAACTATGACGAATTTCGTTTTAATCTTTTGGATTATGATTCTTGAAACAGTGAAGAACATAATTAGATGGGGAAAAAAATCGATTTCTCCGACCCACCTAGGTGTATATACCCCCTTAAATAATTTTTAAAATATTTCATTTCTTTTGTAAACTGTTAAAAAAATTATTATTTTTATGTTTTTTTCTTCCAATTTGCGGGGGGGGGGTCACGACACCTATGACCCCCCCGCCACTGGATCCGCCACTGATTTAGAATCACGGTTAACTAATATTTAAAGTACCCATTACGAATTCGATAATTTATCACTTCGGTCACATTTTCACATACGAATGTATACTAGTAAAACATCGATGTTATTTCAAAGGATGATAGTACATTTTCGATGTACTTAATTTTCTAGAAAAAATTGAATAAGCATTAAACGCTTAACGAGAAAGGCATAAAAAGTTGAAAGCTAAATAAACAAATTTAAAAAAAAAATGCTTTAGAATAATAAACTGGCTCATGTAAATTTGAATAAACGTTTCTTAATAATTCCTCTTTTTTAATATAAACCAATTTTTTTTTAATTAAAAACCATTTTGAACATAGATGCAAATTAATTTCACCAACAAAGTTCGTTTCTTTAGAGTTTAAAGTTGAGAAGTAGTAGCTGCATTTCGAAAGACGTTTGTAGTCACTACATTTTAAAAAAAGTAGTTACATTAGTAGTTAACTACATTTGAAACAAAGTAGTTGCAGTTGCAATAAACTACAAAAATAATGCAGTTTTTCAGATCACTATTTTAGATTTAGTTTTTAATCTTTAACTACAATAAGTTTTAGCCTAGTTTGTGAGTATAATAGTAATTAAAAGAAAAAAACATTCTGAGAAGCCTTTGTTCTAATCTGAATCTTTTTTCTTATTGTTCAAATTTGTGAAAATGGTCCGTATTATTTTATTTATTTATTTCAAGCAGCGTTAATGTCAAGAAGATTTCCTTTAAACTTTAAATTTTTTAATAGGTCAAATTTAAACCATAATCAGCAACAACTTATTATTTAAAAGAAAAATAAAATCAACGCGAATACGAAACAAAATCACAATGAATACAGAGCAAGATTCCTTTTAATTTCAAATTTTTTGCTAGGACAAATTCAAACCTCAGTAGCATTCAGACACAGTAACATTCAAGTACCATTTTTTTCATACTCTATATATTTTTTTTTCTTAAAGAGGATAGTATTTTCTGAAGAAATCTTCCTTTTGGAGTATATTATCATTGCTTCTTATAAGCTCACATTCTTTTAAATGTCCTTCGTATTTTTCAGGAAGTATTTCAGGTGGTATGAACTCATGAAGATCCTTAAACTCAGTGCTGTCAGAATGAAACTGAAGCTGAAAAGGTAAGACACATAATTATACAATCAACCGAAACATTTACTCACTATTTTAGGTAAATAAACAATACTAAGAGTTTTAGAAAATAAGTCTAACTTTTCTTTCGAAATAGTGGTTAAAAGGAATTTCAAAAAATATTATCAGACTTCAATATTTGTACACTCTGTTTATAAATGTTTATAACCGACCCTGACAGCCAGCTCATTGTTGGTTATACGACTTTCCATGTAATTTCTCCGTATCCATGTAATTTTGAGTTTAACCCGGAAGACAAAGACACCCCTAGAACATGTATTCGGTCAAACTATCCGTCGGAGAGGATCTTTTGATGGAACTAACCTGCATTTACGTAATATGGTGGTAAAAACCTCCCACAGATAGTCCGACTGAAAGGGGGTTCTAATTCATGATCCGTCTATGTCAGAAGGTATTTTACTTCAGCACTACTTCCACCGATGGAATTCGATCCTAGATCACCTCATTGGTTGGCGAGCGCTCTATCCCCTGAGCCACCCTGACTCTGTGGGCTCTGTTATAGTTTATTTCATAATCGACGTTGAACAGCTTCATTGAGGGGCAATCACTCTATCCTTTGAGCCATCGTGTCTCCGTACACTCTGTTATTTTATTATATTTTATAACCTAACCACTTGTCGGGATAGCCTGGTTGGTAGGGCGCTTGGCCAATGTCCAAAAGGTCGTGGTATCAATCCCCGCCGATAGAAGATTCATCGTGTAGTAAACGGTGACTGATGCACGTTAAATCTGTCGAATCACAAAATCGTTCATGTTCCCATAACAAAATCATGCCTCTGGGGGTACTGACCCAGGAGTTTCCTTGTCTTCTGGATTGGTTCAAAATTACAAGGCTGCGAGTTGAACATTAGTAGTCGAATGCCCAAAATTGGGTCGGCTGTTCAATGACGGTTATGAAATATAATTAAAAACTTTATAACCGGCGTTGGACAGTCTCCCCAATTCTGAGTTAACTTCTATCAATGTTCAACGCCCTAGGCTTGTAATTTTGAACCCAACCAGAAGATAAGAGAATTCTTCAATCAACAAATAGGGCGAACTAGCCTTCGTAAGGGGCTATTTGATGGAACTAACCCGCATTTGCGTTGCATGAAGAGGAAAATCACGAAAACTGTGTTTAGAGTGGGCCGAGAGCGTGTTCTTATTATTATTAACCAGCCTTATTAATGTTCTTATTAACCAGCCTCCGCAATGCAGTTCGAACCTGGGCCACCTCATTGGGAGGCGAATCCTTTATCCTCTGAGCAACAATGACTCTGAGAACTCCATCAGGGACTGTTCTTGAATTCTGTGGATTATTTATATTATAAGAACACCAATTATTATAAGAGTCATATTTATAAGAATTATAAGGACACCAAAATGATGTTCGCTGCCCTCGCCAAACTCCCGAAACTGTTTCCGCAGTTAGTTTCAATTGGCTTCGCAATTCGAACTCACTCATTGAATACTTATTTATCTTAAGACTAAATATCGTAGTACTTTTTTTTAAGAAGTTATCGTAGTACTCTTTTTTTTAACGTCATCGCTTTCCTTTTTGGTAACATGAAGTTCTATTGTGGTTGTCTTGGTATAATTTTTTTTTATGTTCATGCTCAGATTTTCTTTTTACAAATTGTGTTTAGAGTAATTTATTGCTTCTTGAAGTAAATTCTTGGGATAAAAACCACCTTACTACACTTACCACATCAACCACTTTCTTAGGCATGAGTGGAATCAATGCATTGTATAGAGATATAAATGCTTCAGACACATTTACGACGTGTATTTTCTTTATCCTCACAGAAGAACTCTAAAAATGAAAATAAGGGCAAAAACTGAATTATGGTTCATGAACAAAATGTAAATAAGTAAAAAAATATTTGCATTCATATTGCTCTGCATATGTTTCTTTAAAAAAAGTGTGCGAAAAGTTTTGGGATGTATTAACTTTTGTAATGACGCTGATGTATGATTTCCTTGTTTTAGACAATTTTCAACTGTTTCAATTTTTATACGATTAACATAAAACTTTAACAAAAGGTTTATAATTACACATAGAATTATTTTTTTAAAGCAAGATTAGCGGTACATACAGTAAGAATTGCCTTAAAGCTATAACTCATCAGTTAACTAATTAAAATCTGTAAATACAAAAAACAAGAATCTCCGCTGCAACGAAAACTACATAAAATCATAATAAAAGTTAGATAGAATACAAAAATTAACTCAAATCTGGACTATTATTTGGTGTCATAGCCATCCAGATGGCTGAAAAATGCAAGATGTTTCTTAAATAAATTAAAATTTTCAAAAGTAGGGGGAGAGTGGTAAAAAATCATGCAAAGCAATAACAAAAAGCAGCACAACGAGATAGTTAAAGAAGGCATTTTTTAAAACTGTTTTGGAATTGAATAAGTCAGGTCGAATTTTTGTAAGAATTCGAGAAAATCCGTTACAGAAAAATAAGATGTGTAGTTTTTGGTAACGCCGTTTCTTGGTTTCTTGAAGCAATGCGATGATTTTAAACTATATATATATATATATATATATATAGTTTAAAATCATCGCATTGCTTCAAGAAACCAAGAAACGGCGTTACCAAAAACTACACATCTTATTTTTCTGTAACGGATTTTCTCGAATTCTTACAAAAATTCGACCTGACTTATTCAATTCCAAAACAGTTTTAAAAAATGCCTTCTTTAACTATCTCGTTGTGCTGCTTTTTGTTATTGCTTTGCATGATTTTTTACCACTCTCCCCCTACTTTTGAAAATTTTAATTTATTTAAGAAACATCTTGCATTTTTCAGCCATCTGGATGGCTATGACACCAAATAATAGTCCAGATTTGAATTAATTTTTGTATTCTATCTAACTTTTATTATGATTTTATGTAGTTTTCGTTGCAGCGGAGATTCTTGTTTTTTGTATTTACAGATTTTAATTAGTTAACTGATGAGTTATAGCTTTAAAGCAATTCTTACTGTATGTACCGCTAATCTTGCTTTAAAAAAATAATTCTATGTGTAATTATAAACCTTTTGTTAAAGTTTTATGTTAATCGTATAAAAATTGAAACAGTTGAAAATTGTCTAAAACAAGGAAATCATACATCAGCGTCATTACAAAAGTTAATACATCCCAAAACTTTTCGCACACTTTTTTTCAAGAAACATATGCAGAGCAATATGAATGCAAATATTTTTTTACTTATTTACATTTTGTTCATGAACCATAATTCAGTTTTTGCCCTTATTTTCATTTTTAGAGTTCTTCTGTGAGGATAAAGAAAATACACGTCGTAAATGTGTCTGAAGCATTTATATCTCTATACAATGCATTGATTCCACTCATGCCTAAGAAAGTGGTTGATGTGGTAAGTGTAGTAAGGTGGTTTTTATCCCAAGAATTTACTTCAAGAAGCAATAAATTACTCTAAACACAATTTGTAAAAAGAAAATCTGAGCATGAACATAAAAAAAAATTATACCAAGACAACCACAATAGAACTTCATGTTACCAAAAAGGAAAGCGATGACGTTAAAAAAAAGAGTACTACGATAACTTCTTAAAAAAAAGTACTACGATATTTAGTCTTAAGATAAATAAGTATTCAATGAGTGAGTTCGAATTGCGAAGCCAATTGAAACTAACTGCGGAAACAGTTTCGGGAGTTTGGCGAGGGCAGCGAACATCATTTTGGTGTCCTTATAATTCTTATAAATATGACTCTTATAATAATTGGTGTTCTTATAATATAAATAATCCACAGAATTCAAGAACAGTCCCTGATGGAGTTCTCAGAGTCATTGTTGCTCAGAGGATAAAGGATTCGCCTCCCAATGAGGTGGCCCAGGTTCGAACTGCATTGCGGAGGCTGGTTAATAAGAACATTAATAAGGCTGGTTAATAATAATAAGAACACGCTCTCGGCCCACTCTAAACACAGTTTTCGTGATTTTCCTCTTCATGCAACGCAAATGCGGGTTAGTTCCATCAAATAGCCCCTTACGAAGGCTAGTTCGCCCTATTTGTTGATTGAAGAATTCTCTTATCTTCTGGTTGGGTTCAAAATTACAAGCCTAGGGCGTTGAACATTGATAGAAGTTAACTCAGAATTGGGGAGACTGTCCAACGCCGGTTATAAAGTTTTTAATTATATTTCATAACCGTCATTGAACAGCCGACCCAATTTTGGGCATTCGACTACTAATGTTCAACTCGCAGCCTTGTAATTTTGAACCAATCCAGAAGACAAGGAAACTCCTGGGTCAGTACCCCCAGAGGCATGATTTTGTTATGGGAACATGAAGGATTTTGTGATTCGACAGATTTAACGTGCATCAGTCACCGTTTACTACACGATGAATCTTCTATCGGCGGGGATTGATACCACGACCTTTTGGACATTGGCCAAGCGCCCTACCAACCAGGCTATCCCGACAAGTGGTTAGGTTATAAAATATAATAAAATAACAGAGTGTACGGAGACACGATGGCTCAAAGGATAGAGTGATTGCCCCTCAATGAAGCTGTTCAACGTCGATTATGAAATAAACTATAACAGAGCCCACAGAGTCAGGGTGGCTCAGGGGATAGAGCGCTCGCCAACCAATGAGGTGATCTAGGATCGAATTCCATCGGTGGAAGTAGTGCTGAAGTAAAATACCTTCTGACATAGACGGATCATGAATTAGAACCCCCTTTCAGTCGGACTATCTGTGGGAGGTTTTTACCACCATATTACGTAAATGCAGGTTAGTTCCATCAAAAGATCCTCTCCGACGGATAGTTTGACCGAATACATGTTCTAGGGGTGTCTTTGTCTTCCGGGTTAAACTCAAAATTACATGGATACGGAGAAATTACATGGAAAGTCGTATAACCAACAATGAGCTGGCTGTCAGGGTCGGTTATAAACATTTATAAACAGAGTGTACAAATATTGAAGTCTGATAATATTTTTTGAAATTCCTTTTAACCACTATTTCNCAAAAAACAGTCGATTTGCTTAGAAGAGTAGTTGTTGTGTGGCGTTAAAGTGAGGAGTTTCGCTTCCATCGCTCTAAAGCATGTTTTCAGAAGGTGATCAGCGGTCGTGGCTTAAAATGGAGGTTTGTCGCGGCAAAAAATGCAGCAGAATGCTATCGAGAATTAGTGGAAGCCTGTGGCGCAAATGCTTTACCGTCTAGGACAGTAGCACGATGGGTTCCAGCATTTCGTCTTTTTTCGTCATTAAGTCTTTTGAAAACATGCTTTAGAGCGATGGAAGCGAAACTCCTCATTTTAACGCCACACAACAACTACTCTTCTAAGCAAATCGACTGCTTTTTGCACTCTACACATCGACAACAGCGTCACCTCACCGCTCCTATATCCTATTTGCGCATGCCAGCCCTTCTGTGAGTTTCAATGTTAAGTTGCCACTATTTAAATTACAACCCTCGTATATAATAAAAACATATGTAACTGAAATTCGACAAATTAAATTAAGCAATTTAATTTTTTTGTCATATTGAATACTAATAAAAAAAACAAATGTAAAATGACATAATTATATTATCAATGATCAATAAACATTTTTGTCAAGTTGTTATAAGAAAATGAGGTGAAAACAATAAAATTAAAAATTATTTACAATAGATCTCTGAATATTCACAAAACCTAGCTATGTACATTTTTCATTGATTCTTCTTTTCACATCTTTTTGTGTACCGTTACTTAGCTTTACAAATGCATTTGGAGCCTGGAAACTTCGAGATAGTAAATAAGGATGTTGTTGCCAAAACTAGCGCCAAGATGGTGAAGGTTCCATTTTCAATTAAAGTTCCCTTTTGCCTGTACATTGTTGTTGTCTGTTGTTAAAATACGTTAAGTCGCAATTCTAAAATGTCGATCTTTGGGGGGGAATAGGAATATTTTCGGAAATATAATTTGTAACTTTAGACATGATATTTAGGGAATGAATTCTTTACTTAAAGTCAAAAATTTAGAAAAAAAACCCATATTTTACTCGAGCATTTTTGATGCCGTTTAGTGTTATTAAATAAATATTGAAATTTTTAAGTGATTTTTTCTGAAATTTATCAAATATTCCTATATTCGTAAACTATCCCGCATAGAGTAGGTGGTCAGAACATCCAAATATTAGGGTATTAACTTTTCAATGTTTGATTTTGTTCAATATTTAATTCTAGAAAGACTAAACTCTGCTGTATGACAAGAAAGTCAGAAGGGGCCAGTACAGAAATACTCAAAACTTTCAGTAAGTTATTTATCTAATTACAGAGCATTAAAAAGAGGCATTGAAAGAGCTGTCTCTCTAATGTTAACTTCATTCTAATGCTAACTATTATTCATTGTTAGAAATTCTAGTTTTCTAAGAAACTAATATGCAATAAAATAAAAAAAATCAGTTAACATTTACCAGTATTACGCATGAATTTGGAATCTTACCAATATTACGCATGAATTGAGAATCTTACCCATATTACGTATGAATTGAGAATCTTACCCATATTACGTATGAATTGAGAATCTTACCAATATTACGCACGAATTGAGAATCTTACCAAAAATTACGTATGGATTGCGAATCTTACCAATATTACGCATGAATTGGGAATCTTACCAATATTACTCACGAATTGAGAATCTTACCAAAATTACGTATGGATTGAGAATCTTACCAATATTACGTATGAATTGAGAATCTTAGCAATATTACGTATGAATTGAGAATCTTACCAATATTACGCACGAATTCAGAATCTTACCAAAATTATGCATGAATTGAGAATCTTACCAACATTACGTATGAATTGAGAATCTTACCAATATTACGCATGAACCTGTCGTAATCCACTTGTAGTCAGTGTATTGGGGAATTTTAGAAAGTGTGAAATCACCAGCATCCATTAGAAAAGTAATTCCACAAATTTGAGTGATCGGATTTCGTATTAAGTCGAAGCAAGAAATCATGTCCAGGTATACTTTTTCCGGCAGAGGTAACTCAGCTACATCGATTTCAACTGAAAGATGTACATACATACTCTATAAAATATTTATTCGTTCTAATCCTGATTAAACTAATAACCTATGAATTAGATACAAGTAAACTGGACATTTCTCACCTTATTTTTTAAACACATTAATGAAATTTAAAATATTTTTTTTTGTGTTTTTAGCTCTAGATAAAGGATTCTAAAATTTCTCTGCGAATTTTATTTATATTTATTTATTTATTTTTACGATTATTACTGCATTCTAATTTACTTACTTTCTTATTTTAGGTAATCTAACGTTTTATTGATCGTAACTATTCGACATTAAAATTTCTTTGAGGATAAATTAAGACTAAAATTATTTGCGTTAAGTAATACATTTAGTGCTCAGTTGCATTGTATAAATAAATACGACTTATTACTCATTGATAACACAAATAAATGTATCATTTGGAACCACAATTCTTCTGAATAATTAATAATTCTTGTCACGTCATTACAGTTAATTAGTTTCTTTTTTTAAATGTTTTAATTCTTAAAATTCTTTTATCAATATGAAACTCTTTAACCAGTATTTATCTATAAATCTCTTTTTTTTCTCCGGTAACACACAATTGTATCAGAATAGGAATTAATAGCTATTCTTTTTGTACCTTCAAACCACATTAACATGAAAATTTCAGTTCTTTGATGCCTTGTATAAATTTATACCTTATCTAACTTTCCTTTATTGGCAAATAGTTTTTAATTAAAAAAAAACTTCCCAAATAATTGAATTCTCTAAACTGAGCTTTGACTGATTTTTCGGTTTAAGGTTAAGGTTATAGTGAACTATTTTAATAATGCATCTAAGAATAACTTGTAGAACCATGAAGAACGGCAGTTCTCTAATGGTGTTCCGCGAAACCCCAGGGTTCCCTGGAAAGGTGAAAGGTGCTCCGAGAGTTTAACCTCCTAGTACTGATTTTAATAACCTTATTTATATTTGTATATAATGATTATCTCTTATTAATTTAATATTTCGGTTGTTTTATGAAATTATTTGAAGAAGGAAAAAATAAAACAGAAATAGCAAAATTTTTTGTTGAAAAAAAATTTTTTTTTTCTAAGAGCAGCTCCAATTTATTAAAAGAACCAGCATTTTTTTTTAAAAAAATAGTATTAATATTTCTCACTGCGCTTTTCAAATCAATATAAAATAAATAAATTCGTTCATTAAAAATGAAATATATCTCTCAGGTAACCACTTTCAACGTTTAAAAAAGTTTTTTTAAGTTTCATTTCAACAAAAATCATAATGTCTCTTATTTGTTTCATTTTCGCTTACGTATATGACCCAAAAACAAATTTAAAATTAAATTCGGTCTCAGTTGTGAGAATCCATCTAAATTTAATTTAAGATTATTAATGAAAAAAATAATAAAAAAGTTTCATTCCTCTTTTTAATTTTTTTTTATGTGAAAAAGTATTTTAATGGATAATATTCTCTTAATTGGGTACTTGCAGTTCAAGAAGAAGACTTCCATACCTCACACATGTGACCTATGACGTCAGAGCCAGTTAAACTTCATCAGCAAAATGGCGTATTAAAGTTGAGCTAAGTTTCTCTCTATAAGTTAGAATGTTAATTAACGATAAGTTAATTAAATACAGAACCATATCGCCCATCGAATTAGTTGAAATATGTGGTTTCTCGCCTAATTCTTTTACTTAACTTAGATTTATTATTTGTTTACGTATTTTATTGTAACCGTGATATATTTCTGTTTTGTGTACCTGGCAACTTCGATACATAGTAAGTTTATTTATGTTCTACACGGCTCCGTTAAGTATTTGTGTAAATATACTATGAAAAAATGGTAGCGTTGAAAGGAATATAGTCTGTGTCGCTTAAGAGAACCGGTACTCGATGGGCTTGTCTTACTCGAAATAGAATGGAAAAAAACAGTTACTACCGTAAACAAATGCTACCGTATCAGCAACCAATCAGGATCGAGACATCCACACTACGATACTTGCAGATATCCCATTGTTTTAATATACATTATTATTTATAAAGTGTGGTTTCCACTGAAAACAGTTCAATCATTTAGGAATCCACAGCTGGAAAAAAAAATTGAAAACCGCTGATTTGCAATAATTTTAGACCGAAATGAAACAACGTGTAAACAAAACCGGCGTAGGAACTAGAAGCATATAAATGGTACCTTACGGTATGTGAAAGGTTCTTTTTTAGATTTAGATTTTTGGAAAAAATTCATAAAAAAATTCTTAAAATCTTCGAGGGTAAAAGTTCAATGTAGAGCCTCACTTAGTGGCTCGNCCGATTTTTCTACATACTTAATTATTTTTTATCTCTCATAGGACCCTCTATGGGCCGAAACGAATGTTGCCCCCTAAAATTATTCTTCATAAGGCATACATCCCATTAGTTTATTTCAAAATTGGCGAGTCACACTTCCATAGTTTCCCTTGTTAGTGGCTCGCTCGAAAATTTATTTATTAAATAAGAGATGAAAAGAAAAAACGTTTAGCAGACAATTAATGTATTTCCGTCGTATAAACGAACTAAATACAGTCGGACTTTTTATTCAACGAATTAATTCCATTTTGCGAATTTCTCTATTTTGCGAGTTTTTTCGAGGAACCAAGAACTTTTTGGAAATTTCTTCGTGAAATAACTTCCAATTTGCGAAGTGAATTTTCTATTTAAACAAACTTTTCTTTGAGATCCACTTTCCCTATTTCCCAAAATATATTAAAACATTTTAAACTTGTTAACGAATTTTAAGGGAGGAAATGACCTTATATTGTTTTTCGTAGCCACTTAACTTTTAGAGGAAGCAGTAAAAATCTATTTCCCTCTTTGTATTTCAAACAAAAAACTCAAACAAAATTAACGAATTTTATCAGTAGCAATTAAACTTAAGAACGCAATGGTAATGCATGTTTAAAATTACTTTTATAATAAATGCAGCTATAATTTTATACATGAATTTAGTTTTTTTAGTTGAAAATGTATGTAGCATGTACAGGATAATGTTTTGCTCCATTCTTGCTTTCCATGCAGATTTCGTTTATGGTTAAGATTCATGAAATAAATAGCAGATACTAGTTTATAAGATAAAGGTGTATCAATTGCTATTTTAATTATATCTAGTGTTTATGAATTTAAAACCTGTTTTGTGTCGTTTAAATACAGTCAAACCCCGCTATAGCGAACATGGTTTATAGTGAACTCCCGGATTTAGTGAACGAAATGTTCGGTCCCGTGCCTTGCTATACACGTATAATGTTGATTTTTGTGGATATAGTGAACTAAAAAGTGAGGAAGTTGGATATTATGAACTTTTTTCTGTCTTCGACTGATTTTTTTTTAAAAAATTTTTTCAATAATTTTGTAACTACTTCAAAATAAATACTTGTACCGATTTTTACAACCATCTGTAGAGTGGAAGGTAGCGATAAGTATTTTCTCTTGTTTGCTTCTTTTTTCACACTTTTCTATCCCTGAACAGAGGCCTACCCAGGCAGATTTATGTACAAATTTTTCCCTGCATCAGCTAAGGATTGTGAATTTGTTTTTTGTGCACAAGACGAAGAGTAATAAAAAATAAAAGCAAGTCAACACATTTTTCTTTACTACGTATTATTTTTCAATCATTTTTGTATTTCATTTTATTGGTCATTTATTTAAATAAACTACAATAAAAAGGAGTTCGGAACCAACAGTTAAAATTGGTTGTGGACCGGATATAGTGAACTCCTGGTTATAGTGAACCAAAATTTCGGTCCCTTGAAGGTTCACTATAGCGGGGTTTGACTGTATTTCGAAAGGTGATTTTTCTATTTAACGAATTTTACATATAACGAACTTATTATCGTGATTTACCGTCTTCGCTAAATAGAGGTCTGACTGTATTATAATAATGCAAAAACCAAGAATGAACTTGGACAGCAATGAAGCGACGTATAAAAACAAAGAAGATGTATAATTGAGTAACGGACAAGCAGTTTCTTTTACTGTATTACATATTTTAAGGGAGAAAAGAATGCTTACAATATCGTGATATTAGCAGGAGACTGTTGTCTTTCAACCTGAATGGTGATATTCGCAATGGATTAAGGTGTGATTTTGTCAATGCATCCAAAACACACGTTTCAAAGTATGCAGGAGAATTCCTTCTGAGTTCGTTGAAAGTTAGAAGACTATATGCTGCTCTGTCGCAGTCAAATTCACTCCCTCGTAAATGCGCCAAGAGGAATTCCTCATCAGGAAATGGTTTGAATCCTTGAACTAAGGGAAAAAAAAACATTATTAATATTAGTATGTGCATTTTGAATTATATATTTTTTATATCAGTCAGCTTGCAAGTTCTTAAAAATTGTTTTTTACTACTTACAATAAATTAATGTATCTCTGAAGCGTATTAACTTCTTGAAACACAAACTTTTGACAGAAAAGTTTAATTAAATACGTTGCTTAAAAAATAGATAATTTTATGAATGCAATTAAAAATTAAAAAAAAGTAAATGACTTTTAATTAAACTATCATTTTTTGTAATTCTTAATTACATAAAAAAGGATATATTTAAGTTTTAGAATTTCTTTCAAATTGCAGGATATTTATTTTTATCGTGTATTTCTTTACATTTTGGTCTTGAAGCTAAATCCGCTACACTCAAGTAATAAGCTATTTATAAAGCATTAAACTTTCTAAAAGACATCTTTAGCCGAACTCTTCACCTTTTTAACGATTTTTCATTGTAATTAAAAACCCTAACCAACGAAAGTAGATGAAATTATAGTTTTGCCCAACACTTGAGATAAAAAAGAACCAAAAATCTTTGAATATTATTTTTTAGTGGTAAAATTGTACAAAATGTTGCCCAATATATTGGACCCTGGGTTCTGATTATTGTTACATAAAAATCTCTTAATGGATCAAATGTTATAGACCAAATTTTTTTTTTTTGCTTACGGAATTTTTATGTGACATCATTGTAGGTAAATCATAGCATTTGTCGATTCAGACGCCAATGAGGTTCGACACACGCGCGTGACGCCACTTACAGGTATCCGAATAAATTTGATTTAAGTCACATGGTTTGGCATAATCAGTTCTTGTCGTCTCGAGTTACAAGTACCCAATTTCTTAAATATTTAGAATGTTTGTCAAACATGAAGTCAAAAAATAATTCGAGATCGCAGCGAACTATGCGAGGCGTTGTTGTATGAGACGAATTCCTGTGATTTCTATATGAACGATAAAAATTTATTAATAATCAGCACAAATGATACTATTTCAAGTAATTCGGAGGATTCCTTATTGTTGTTTTCCGAATCATATAGATACAGAAATATATACTGTTCTATAAAGAAGAAGAATATTCTATAACTATTACAGATCTGTACGTTCTGAATTCACATTTAATCAAATGACGAAGGCAGTGTTGACTTCACTTTAATTTATAATGAATTGAAGACGGAAAAAATTATTTAACCATAATACACACATCTGTAACAGCAGGTAATCATAAAATCCGAAGTTATGTTGTTGGTTGGTTTTTTCAAGTTCTTCTACCTTCTCCTAAGGGAAATTTTGCTTCTTATTTGCTGCTAGGAAAATGGCGTCCGTTATTGCCAATGATTATGATGGAATTTATGCCCGATAATTTCAGGAGATCCCAACGAACTATAGGGGGCGTTGTTGTATGAGACGAATACCTGCGATTTCTATATGAACAGTTATTCCGTTACTCTGGAGACGTCTTTGATGCAGCGTGTAGCATTGTAACGTCTCTTCTTTATTGTGACTTGTTAAATTTAAAAAAGAAAAATGTTTGATATTCTTTCTTATGCAAGCGAAAACAAAATGGTATCTCTCTTCTTTTAGAGAAGAAACATCCAAAATATATCGGAAAAATATCTGTAAATAAACAGGACAAAAAATATATATTATCTTACTATAGTTAAAGCCTTATGCCTGCGAAATCGTTTTACTTAATATAAATAACCGTTTAATGATATTACATGAGAGACCTATTCAAACTTTACATTCCATAGAGTTATTAATCATATCACTTCAAACATTAAAATAGGCAAAAAATATACATAAGCCCATAATTTTATAAAATTTAATTTTGCAAAAAATGTTTATTGATAAAAATTTTTATAAAAAAATTTTAAGTTTCGATAAAAATCATTATTTGTAAACTAAAAAACGCAAAATAAAGAATGCTTACGAAAGAAAAAAAAACTGTTCTAAAAATTCCCCAAATTAAAATAAAGTTTTCTTTTATTATTACTGGGACGTACAAAACCATTATATAGAGAGCTATCATCAAACTAAAAAAAAAAATATTTACAAGTAAATTTTTTATTATAAAAATCATAACACTTACCAGATTTATAATTCCGAAGAACTCCAAAATGATATGTTCTTCATTTGAAAACTTCATTCTCAAATAATATATACATAGATTATCTCTTCATTACTTTAAGATGACATACCACATAATAAAATTTTATAATTGCAAGATCTCGATATGAATTTCAATACGTAACTTAAAAGCATAATAGCTGAATTCTAGTTGATATTTATCATTCAAAATTAAAAAATACTTACCAAGGAAACAATAAAAATTTATCAATAAGCAATATAAATGATACTAGTGGGCTGCTCCCTTTCCTTGCCAGCGCTCGCCAACCCCCGAAAATTGCTACGCAATCTTATATGGTTTGTTTCGCAAACAAAGCTCGCTTCGCTCGCTACTAACTTAGGTACATTGCAAATGCACAAAATTCTAAAAACTCAAAACAATCATTCAAATCCATATAACAACTTTTTTAAAAAAAAATTACATATTTTTAGTAAATACTAAGTGTGACATTGCGTCACTTAATCTTAATTTTCCTGTTGGGATCGTGACCTAAAAATTAGACCGAACCCTGACCCCTCTCCTGTGACGCCTCACTGTCTGTCGACCTTCACGCCTGTGACCTTCGGCAGCCTTTGATGTGAACATGTGGGAGAACGTTCAGCTGCAGTCACCGTTTGCGAATAATTGTAATTTAATTTTTCACTGTTAGTCTTTTCACTTCAAGTCATTTTTTTAGGGAGTTTAACTTTCACTTCTGGCTGTTTATATAAATACCGCCCATTTTTGGGAGCGGGTAGCATTCGAGATTTGTAAGCATTCAAAATCTACGATCCCTTAACAGGGATTTTTCTTTTCCACCCCCTCCTCTCTTCGAGAGACGGAGTTTGTTTTTGTTAAATTGCATGGAGGTCATTTCTTCCACCCACCCGTGGATGCCTTTTGCGGGCTGTGATCGTTTGTTTTCCTTCGCCATGGACTAAGTGGTTGTTCGATACTCTGATTTTCTCCGTCACCTCGCTCGCGCAGTGAGCGTTTATTTTGCTCCGTTTTCTCTCTGTTTGAGGCACGGAACTTTAACCCTTTCTTAATGGCGTAGTATCTGCCCGCCGACTCCTCAAGGATGCAGTTTTTCGACAAGAACGCAAATCTGTTACCATCTTAATTTTTTTGGATCGCCTTTCCAGTAAGCGACATATTTTTTTGTCGACTGCCACCACCGCCAGCCGCCACTGACGCTACTACTAAGAGATGAAAAAAAGGATGATCCCCATGAATCTTATCTGCCATTGTTAAAAATTGAACTATGTGACCCCTAACTGGACATGCTTGTAATTCTGCTGCCCCAACGATTTTTTAAAAAGAAGTGATCCATATCAATAAACTACAAAAATCTGAACTCTGGACTTTTCCTTGTGTCTTTTAACTGTTGCAGCGGAGCCGTTAATTTTTAGATGTCTCCTTTTCTCCAATGGATTGATATGAAGGTATGATTTTTTATGTTCTTTCTTTTTGATGGGCGGCGCCTCTCCAAGATGTACTTCCACTACAAGATATCATGCGCCTTCTTCTTTTTTAGTGTAAAATGCTTTAATTAATTAACCTTCTTTATTTTTTGATACCCAGCAGACCCCATATAACACTAAGTCATTAAAATAAATTTGAATTCAAATAAATGACATGTAATTCGTTAAACCTCCACATTTGGTGAGAATGCTCTCTCTGGTTATTTAAGTTTCCGTTTTTAAAAGCGCTATATGTTGAGCTACCTCAGCTAGCTTTGGCATGTGATATTTTTAGCGGCAATCATTGGTCGATTTTCCGGCGTTGCCATTCGAGGAGTTGTATAGAGGCTTTTTTTTGCCGTGTAAGAGAAATATACATATAGATTATTTCAAGTAATTCAGATGATTCGTTATTGTTGTTTTCCGAATTATATAGATTCAGAAATATGTAGTGTCCTATAGCTACTACAGTTCTGCATGTTCTGAAATTTCATTTATTCATTGGAATAAAGTAAGCAATGCTGACTTCACTTTAATTTGTAATGAATTGAAGACAAAAAAAAAAAATACTTTACCGTAATACACACATCAGAAACAGTATGCGATTCGCGATCGCAACGCTCGAGTACGCAATCGAGTAGCCGGAGCCTGAAAATATCAGGCATTAATTTATTAAGTTTTCATTTAGTTCCATCAATATCATTGGCAGAGTCAGACGCCATTTTCTTAGCAGCAAATAAGAAGCAAAATTTCTCTAAGGAAAAGGCCGAAGAACTTGAAAAAGCTCTCCAGAATATTGGTAAATCTTTCAGAAACAGAACACGCCAAACATTTGAATAGAAATTCCTCAATAATTTTTAACTTCTATTATCAACAAACTTGCAACTGATAACTTCCAATTTCGGGATCGCACCCTGTTACAGATGTGTGTTGTCATGCCTCCATATATGTTTTTATTCAACGTTTTGATCGTGGTCTTTTTTTCACATCCGCTTTCAATCAGAGCATTCCCTTCTCTGTCTTTCTTTTAAAACCTTGATGACAGCGCCATCACGACATGGAGGCATGACAAACATCATAAAATGTTGTAGTGTAACTATTAAGCTATGTTGTAGTATACCATTAAGCTATATAATATAAAATATTCAACGGTGAAAGTCAACAACCACCGATTTCGGTCATTCACAGTAACATGCACATCAATTACATAATAACCTCATCAAGACGTTTATTTCATACTTTGCCTAAATAGCATGCGGCATTATATAAACGAGGGTTGCTATTTATATTTCTGGCCTTGGTAACAGTAAGAGTTGCTAGGCGACCACAGACGATTTTAATCGAAAGTTTGATATTTTTAAACATAAATTCAGCAGACGATTTACCATTATAGCTTCATTTGTGTTGTTGACAGTAAATTGAAAAGTTCTTCTCTTTCAAAAAATTGAATTGAATCGTGAACATTTTCGTGCCATTATTTTTCATAACTTTCGACGTGGATTGTCAAGACAAGAGTGCTTCGATGAACTTAATTCTTTATTCAGCGATAAAGCGCCATCCTACAGCACTGTAAAAAATTGGTATAACGAATTTAATCGTGGTCGATGTTCGATCCAGGACGAATCCCGTGCAGGTCGTCCAAAATCCGTTGTTGTGCCAGAAAAGATCGATGCTGTGCGTGAACTGATAAAGCAAGATCGTCATGTGACATACCGTGAGATAGAGGCGTCTTTGGACATTAGTATGACTAGCATCAATAAAATATTGCATGAACATTTGAGCGTAAAAAAAATTTGTTCGCGTTGGATCCCGCATAATCTGACAAACGCTCAAAAAAAGGCTCGTGTCGATTGGTGCAAGGAAATGTTGGAAAAATACGTTCAAGGTACATCAAAGGCTGTGTATAACATCTACACAGGTGACGAATCATGGATCTATGCATATGAGCCGGAAACAAAACAGCAATCAACTGTATGGGTCTTCCAAGACGAGGCAAAACCAACAAAAGTTGTTCGAGGAAGAAGCACATCGAAACAAATGATTGCCTGTTTCTTCGGCATTAACGGTCATGTGGCAACAGTGGCGTTAGAGCAACGCAGGACGGTCAATTCTGAATGGTACACGACCATTTGTTTGCCAGAAGTCATCGGAGAAATTCGAAAAAAGCAGAAGAACAGGCGAATCATTCTTCATCATGACAATGCGAGCTCTCACACATCGACTCAAACAAAGGCATTTCTGACGGAGCGAAAGATCGAACTGATGGGTCATCCGCCGTACAGCCCTGATTTGGCACCCAATGACTTCTTCTTATTCCCACACATCAAAAATAAATTACGTGGACAACGATTTTCGACCCCCGAAGAAGCGGTTGATGAATTCAAAACGCATGTTTTGGAGTTACCTCAATCGGACTGGAAAAAGTGCTTTGAAAATTGGTTCAAACGCATGCAAAAGTGTATTGATCATCATGGAGAATATCTCCAAAAACAATAAAACCAATTTCGATCCTACATATTTGTTTTTTCATTATTAGTCCAGAAATATAAATAGCAACTCTCGTAATGCCCAGGCTTTATATATAATGCCTAGGCAAAGTGTGTAAAACTTTTCATATTTCATACTTTGCCTAAAAACGTCAGGCATTATATATAATGCCTAGGCATTTCATACTTTGTCGGTCACATATAAATGAAATTAAACGTAAACCAATACCTTTAAGCATGTGTTTAAGCGTTTGCATACAGGCTTTCCTTAAAAGTTCAGATTCATTAATAGCAGTTAAAGCTTTCTCTTCTTCTTCTTTAGGCAGCTGTTCAGCACTATATGGTAATAGGTTCATATTTTAGAAATCTCACTAATTGCCTTAAAAAAAAGATCAGATTGTTAATAATTATTAAAAAACACGTAGTTGCTCAGTAAATTACTTGTTGAGTGCAGAAATTAAGAAAAATTCCTAACAGGTTAATAACGTTTGATCTAATGATTATATTTTCACGTGCTGAATGATAAAGGTTGCAGGGTCTAACCTTAAATATACTAAAATATTTGTGCTGATGATATTTTAACTTATGAAATAGGACTAAAAAACGTACTTTCCCTAAATAATATACACTACTTTTTCTTCTGGCAGACTTAGAATCGGGATTCTCAAAATTTAGGAAGAGCGAAATCTGAAAAATATGGTCTGCATTGTTTAGGCAACATAGTGATCAAAAGTTAGTCCCCTTAATAATTTTACTTTTTACGATCTAAATAGCAACAAAAAAGTCATAGTTACGTATTAATACATAATAACATAAGTTACATATTAATACATTAATAATTACATATTACAAAATCTGAAAGAAATTCACTTAAATTAGAGCTTAATTTACTTAAATCTAAAAAAAAAGTTATTAGAGCTTAATTAAGTTAAAGGATAGGAAAAAATATTCTTGCAATTTAAAAAACAGGTTTTGAAATATTTCTAAAAATTTGGAACTTAACTTATTTCGAACTAATAACTATAAAAAAAAAAGATAACTTAATTTAGAATTAAAAGTATTAAGCTTAATTTACTCAGAATTAAAAAAATACTGAAATTTAAATTTATTGAAAGGAAAGAAAAGAAGAAAAACTATTCTTGCATACCATAAGATTGCTTACAAATTCAGTTTAGAAATAATTCGATAGTTATAAAAAATTAGAGCAATAGGAAGAAAAATAATTTTAGTTGCGTATTAAAAAATCTACTTACTTTTGTCTCGCTTTCATTAATTTGTACAGCTTTCATTCAAATTCGGTGCAGATTTTAGTAATGTTTGATGATGAATATTTTTACTTCGTAACTTCGAATTTTCTTCCTCTACTTTAAGTTTCATTGATTAATCTTTTAGTCATGAGATATTGTTTTAGTGAAATCTGAGAATGATGTCCTGCTTAAATCTTAATCCGAAAAGCGTGAGTACGTTCTCATTTTTCTAAAATTGTTCTGATTTCAAATATATTAAACAGCTTTGCATACATCTCCCCAGTCTTTTTTTAACATCATTTAAGTGCAATTTATCGTAAAATTTTTGAAAAAAATTGTGATACGTCTTGTAACAAATTTTTTTGTCCAATATAAGAAAAAAACCCAGAAGGAAGTCTTTTTTTTCAATATCTTCTTTAAATTTTCCCACTTCATGTAACATTACGCTTTTCCTTTAGTATGAAAGCGATTTCGAATACATCCCTTTGTGCCGATAAATATATATAATTCGTAAATTACAAACATATAATATCAAATAATAAAATTATGCAAATTTTATAAGAAAAACTCAATTAAATATTTCATACGTCAAAAAGAAAACCTACTTAGCATTTTAAACTTAATTAAGAATATATTTTATATTTGGCGATATTAGCGCCATCGAAGCACGATTGATTTAATCTGAAATAAGGGTCGGGGAACTGGCCTTACATCGGAAAGGTTCTGGGTTTGAATCCCGGGCAAGGCATGGATGTTCTTTCACTCTCTGTACTATCTCTCCTTACTGTGGAAGCAGCGTAGGGCCACCTGATATGCCGCTGACAATGTGGCCAATAAATCTGTCCTTCAGATGCCTGTATGACCTAGGTCATTCTCCAGGTGGGCATTGAAAAAAAAAGAAAGAAAACTTCCAAGCGCAAGAGATAAGTAATAAAATTGAACTTTCTGAATAACTTTTAATTTAATCACCAGATCTCTATATTCTAAAAATATAGATTTGAAGGGGACACCTTAAATGAAGTATTAATTCGCGCAGAAGATAATTTATGCTACGAAATCAGACACAGAAGTGTTCTCTCTCTGAATAAATATTCCTTTTTGTCAACGTATTTGGATTCCTTACCCTTAAAATATGGAGATAGCCACAATCTAAAAAGCGCGATCCCTATAGATTGGTCAGGAGAGGAGTTCAAAGCTCATGTTAATTTTACTTTTTGAGTTTTTCATCATATCAAGAGAATTTTCTAAACGAATCATATAATAATCGTAAAATTACATGCAAAAAATAATTTTTAATAAGTATTTATTATTTTAATAGCTGAAACAATTTAAATAGCATTGCATAAATTTTTTTATTTTGTTTTAAGCAAAGAAATTTTATAAGTTTTTTTATTTCCTATGAGTTGCTAAATCAGTCTTCCCGATGAGCAGACCTAGTGCATTCTCCAGAAGTGGTATCCATTCTTTCAGGACCACCACAATGAGTGAGATACCGTCCACACTAGATGGCAGCACCGAGACTCTATTTGGATGCTAAAGTTCACTAGGAATCTAATTTTGCCGGAAATGCCAAGAGCCAATAAGGCACTCCAGGCATCTTTTACATGCCGCATAATCATACGACATGGCCGCTGAGGATTTTCTGCATCTTGAAAATCCGGTGTCTGGGCCGGGGTTCGAACCCGCAGACTTGGGCTCAGAAGGCCGACGAAATTTTATAAGGTAAAGTACAAAATTTGAACGAATTGGATCGAAAAGTTCGTGAAGAAAACCAAATTTTAACTAAACGACTTCACTAAAATAAGATTTTTTTAGAAGAGCAATTTGAACAATGTTATTGTGCATAACTTTAATTACATGATACTAGGGTCCAACTCTAAAAAAGCATGCTTCCAATCAGCACCATATCATGCTTGTAGCAAATTTGCACTGTATTATGCTTCATCACCTGACCAAATTCTTTGAGAGAATAAATTTAAACGCAGTTCATTGAATCAAATTGAACGAATCATCAAATTTGAACGATGTTATTGTGCTTTTTCAACTTTGATTACACAATTCTTCGGTTCAATTCGAACGAAAGGATGGTTCAAATTAACACCTTACCAAGGCTGTAGCAAATTTGCACGATATTATTATTCATTGCAGAACCGATTTTTCTAAGAGTGTAGATTAAAATTCGGTTCATTTAGATTAGATAAGCGATTTGATCATTATTTTCGTTCTTTTTAGTTTCGATTGCACAACAGTATTGTCACGTACAAGCAAAATCAAGATTCAAATCGACTCCTTATTAAGTTTGTTGCGAATTCACTCAATATTATGGTCCATCGTTGAAATTTTTTTCCTGATAATGTAGATTAAAGTTAGTAAAGATTTCTTTTTAGCAATTGAAGTTATCCGGCAATTAATGTACACTAGTGGAAAAAAATTAAGAGATGGAAAGCACTTTCGCACATTTCTAAGACGCTATATTCTTCTATGACACACATTTCTATGACGCTATTTCTGGACGGTTATTGATATGGAGAAAACCTGGAACCCGATACCATCCCAGCAACATTATCGAAAGGGACCATTATGCTGGTGGAGGACTCATGGTTTGGGCAGGGATCATGCAAGATACTCGCACACCACTCCATGTGTTTGACAATGGTTCCGTGAATGACCAGAGGTACAGGCAGGAGATCCTAGAGCCCTATGTGCGTCTTTTCAGGGGAGCTGTTGGGCCTGAGTTTATTTTTATGGACGACAATGAGCGACCACGTAGGGCTCTCATGGTTGATGAGTATCTGGAAAGCGAGGATATTCAACGAATGGATTGGCCAGTCAAATCCCCTGACCAGAATCCTATTGAACATGCTTGGGATGCTCTTGGGAGAGCTATTGCGACGCGCCAACCTCCCCATAGAACCATTCTGGAGTTAAAAATTGCTCTGGTGGAAGAATGGGAGGGTCTTCCACAAGTTCTCCCTTAACTCCCTTATTAGCAGCATGCATACTCGTTGTGCATGCTGTCTGTCAGGAGTGACCATACACCATACTAAAGGCAACACACACTGTACAAGCCTCACTTTTATTGTCATTTTTTATCTTTAAGTTCAGACTGCATTGGATTTATTGGCAATAGGTCTTGCCAGTGAATGGCACTTCCATTTTTGTTTTGCATACTTTATTATCATGGAATAAACTATACCATACCAAATTTCATTTATTTATCTTCAGTATTTTTTGAGATATTTGGGAAAATGTCTCCCATCTCTTGATTTTGTCGACCAGTGTACAATTTGATACAAAATTTTTAAATTTATTTTATCAGCTGAGACATTTTCTTAAGATTAACAATATAATAATAAATAAATAAAATTAAAAGAGAAAGGAAAAAAATGTGTATGCCAATTTTTTTGAGAATTTGGGAGTTTCTATTCAATTTTATTCTTACTTTGCTTCTACTCTAATGATGGATTTAAACTATCAGGCAGAGCAGTATGCAGAATTTTTTCGTCATGGTCAACCTGAATATATATTTTTAGAAATTTAAAAAAAAACTACGTACGTTAAAAGTTGCGAACTAATATAAAGAAAAAGGTAAAAAAAATAAGAAATAAATGAAAATAATATTTTTAAAAACCACGTTTTTGTAGTGGAGAATAATAATTAAAAAACAAAAATTTGAAAAACGATAAACTTGGGACGCATGAAATACATAACGGTAACAGTATGTGTGCTCATGAGAATATGTGTAAGTATATCTGTAATTGTATCTGAATGTGGATGTGTATGTGGTTGTGCATGTGTATGCGTAAGAAAATGTGTGTATGTGTATATGTACTGTTATGTATTTCAGGCGACCCGCGTTTTTCGTTTCTCAAATTTTTGTTTTTTGATTATTATTCTCCACTACAAAAACGAGGTTTTTAAAAATATCATTATTATTATTTTTTTTTTTTGTACTAACTTCCAAAATCTCAATTTTTTCACTTACTGTACACAAAACTTATCAACTGACATGTGACACTAATTTGAAATAATCGAAATAGGCGAGACTAAAAACATGTAAATCTATCATTTGATTACCGGAGAAATCTGTTAACTTAAAATTTCATTAAATAATTTCTTCTGATACATATTTTTTAAAAATTCCTAAAATAATTTATGTTTCGATTTCGAAATTATTATTTTTTATTAGAAGATTAATTTATAGTAAAGTTATTGCAGAAAAAAGTGGTTGACGAATCTTAGTATCATTTTTGTGCATTCGAGTAAATTAGCTCTAAAGTTTAGGAAATAAGTACTAAGCTAGCCTTTGGTTACAACCCTCAGGTTTGGTGTAGCGGTTGCCACTAGGTTATAGTGGTTACCTTCAAATCATAGAAACTGCAATTACTCAACATTGATTCAAAGTGTTAGCATTATTAACGTTTTTTAACATCCAAAACAGTTGGAAGAAATTTTGTCACAGTCCTCGTAAGAAGGCTACGGCAAACTTCAGACTCTCAACAGGCCATGACTGCTTGGCAGACCACCTCAACAGAATAGGTATCCTTCCATCTAGTGAGTGCCATATCTGCAATTCGGGAACCTTGAACTCAGACCACTTGCTTGTATGCCCTTTACTGGGTAAAATAATCTTAAGAGCGGGGTGATCTCTGTAAACCTTACTGGGATGCCAGAGATCATCCAAAACAGTTGGAAGAAATTTTGTCACAGTCCTCGTAAGAAAGCTGCGGCAAACTTCAGACTCTCAACAGGCCATGACTGCTTGGCAGACCACCTCAACAGAATAGGTATCCTTCCATCTAGTGAGTGCCAAATCTGCAATTCGGAAACCTTGAACTCAGTCCACTTGCTTGTATGCCCTTTACTGGGCAACAATCTTAAGAGCGAGGTGATCTCTGTAAACCTTACTGGGATGCCAGAGATCATCCAAAACAGTTGAAAGAAATTTTGTCACAGTCCTCGTAAGAAGGCTGCGGCAAACTTCAGACTCTCAACAGGCCATGACTGCTTGGCAGACCACCTCAACAGAATAGGTATTCTTCCATCTAGTGAATGCCAAATCTGCAATTCGGGAACCATGAACTCAGACCACTTGCTTGTATGCCCTTTACTGGACAAGTAATCTCAAGAGCGGGGTGATCTCAGTAAACCTTACTGGGATGCCAGAGATCTCTGTAAAGACTACTCCTCATTCTTCACTGTGTATATATATATATGTATATTTTTTTTACTTTAATTTTATCTTTGTATTCTTTTTGTGTTAATATGTCTTTGTCATGTGTTTTCTTTGTTTGTTAATGTAATTTTGTTCCT